ATATAGGTAGCAAAGTATACTCAACAGTTTGACAAACGCAAAAGAAACGAAGAATGTGCTTTTTCCATATTGCTGCAAAGGGTGTAAAAAGCACTATTTGTTTATCTTTCGCTGCCTTGACAGTGGCATCGCTTTTAAAATATTACTGGACGTCCTGCGCGAGATGAAATCGCCGCAAGGGGCGAAGGAGAAACCGGCGATAGGTGGCTGCGTGCAACTCTGGGCGGGCTGACCCTCTCTGAGCCATCACCTAGAACCCATTCAGCCTCGGTTAAAGGCAAATGGATATCATTACGCTTCAATATAAATGATAGTACCAAAGTGGCTTGCGAGAGATTATGCAGTGCTCACCCTGTCAATTACAAATAGGAATTAGTCAATAGATTACTGTGTTAAAATGAATACAGTCTGGGGTTCAGAAAGGTCCGCCATTCAAGTAGACGCCTTTTTCAGGCTTCAAACCGTTAGTCAACTAATTTTTATTAGTATTACTCGGTTAATATCAATTCATTCAGAAGGTGCGTACTTTTTACATGTGTTTAAATGTCATCAATCAAGCACTCAAAATATTACGTCTGTCTTGTCCATCAGTCCTTACCACCTAATTAACGCCTAGAGAAAGTGTGTCGAAAACATCGCACCATGCATTATTTTGGGATAGCGATGAAAAATACATGTTAAATGCTTGCAAGACCATTAACAGTGCATGATACTGTTCCGCTAAGAGAGGTGGCAAAGGATCAATGAAAGCAGCGTGACAATTTCAATGAATGACGTGCGTTCTTGTCATATAACGTACTTTCGACAGTTACAATCGAAAATAGCAACGAGATTTACCTGTTCGACCAAAAGCTTTTTTTGCATATCTTTGCATTTTTCGAGCTTGCTGCTGAACGCGTCGATCTTTTCTAGCTGAACAGCAATCTGTTTTTTCAGCTCTTCGATACACTAGGAAAACAAATTCATCAACGAACCGTTTTTAGCCAGAAAAAGATAAAAACGACTAAATACATACATTATGGAGGTCTTCGATCTGGCAGTTCTTCCTGTCCAGGTCAGTTCGGGACTGTTTCTGTAGTGCCTCTAAATCGAACATCGTCATCTCGGTCTAAAAAAAAACAAATGGCTGATGTCGTCACGTCAACTGACCATACAAAGTCGTACCTGGACTTCGACGTTGATTTTGTTGAATGACACGCACTCATCGCTGGAGATGCTAGACGTCGAAGGCACCCCGATGCTTGAGTTGCTGCTGTTATTGCCGTTGGCAGTGGTCGCGGATGCGATGGCGCTACTGCCACTGCAATACGCATTTTGGGAGGACGCATTGGTGGTCGGCAGTGATACCAGGTTAGCAAACTAAATTAGAGCATCATTCTAAGAGACAGGTCGCCTGTCTGCCATTACTCACACACAGACTGACTGCCGGATACGAAGGACTACTCTGTTGTCCATGACTGAATACAAGGTGATTCTGAACGAAGAATTATTTTCAATCGAATCAAAAGTATTATAGCGCTATAATACTGTAACAAGGCAGATTTTTTTAAGCAAAGTTTAACTTGAGGAACTGACGCGGTCAAAGGCTGAAGACACTCTGCAACAGAAAGCAAGAAAAAGGTAAATCAGTATATTTCATTAGACGGTTAGATTTGGATATAATCTCATCTTTATCTGCGAAAGGATAATAAAGTGAAATTACCACGTTTTCTCCCCGTTACTTCAAAACGCTGCCCGAAAAATCGTTTCGGCAGAATAATAAATATATAGCGGTAACGAATGGGAAGTATAAATATTATCAAGTTTAAGTTAAAACTTTAGTCTTTTATGAGCTTCATTACAATTCTATGTATGTTGATTTAAAGTTAACTTAGTTGGATGTATGTC